TTAGTATACCTTTAGCTGGAATTCGACGGAGGAGTGCGTTCCATGCACTTGTCGCTGTTCATGGATTATTTGGTATAAATCAGTTACTGGAATTTGTGTCTGTCCACAGAACAACTCTTCAAGTAAAACTGCATAGATAAACCTGTATTGCTCCTATTAATATGTTGGTTTAAGAGAGACATTTAGTCATAACGAACTGATAATAATCGAATTTTTTGTCAATTGGAAATAATGACAACAATTGTACTATATAACAAAAGGCATAATATATTTATTGTTTACATCGTGCACATTTCGTTTCAAATATGAAATATTCTTCTAATTTTTAAAGCAATAAATATATTACCTAATAATAATAATTTTAAAAAAAAAGAACAAGTGGTAAATGTTTAGTAAATTAGCAAATACAAGCAGATAACAACACTTGGTAGACAGTAATTTGAGCAAGGTATGATGCATTAATAAAACCAATTCTCCGATAAAACTAATATATAATAAATATTTATGAAATGCTTTCTTACTCTTACAGTACTATTGTGCTGATAATGAATGACTTTCTTAATTCAATGGGAGAGAAACTACATAATGAAAGTAGCTCCATGAGTAATTTTATGATTCTTTGATGACTATTCAGGGGCGGATCCAGAGATGTCCAAAAGGAGGAGCCGAAACGGGGACCGAAATTTAGGCCGATCGCGACAACAACGTTCTTGGGGGTCCGGGGGCATGCCCCCGCGAAATGTTTGTGTTCTAGACGCCCGAAAATAACATTTGTGGTCTTGTGTGCAATCATTTTTTTCTTTTTCTTTTCTTTTTTCTTTTTGTTTACCTCCCAAAAGGGGGGGGGGGGCGCCCCCCCCCCATAAATCCTTTACATATAATGACGTATAAAGAATGATCTCTTTCGAGATCGGGTTTTTAAGATGAGTGAGGGCCATATAACAGTCATTTTCACATAGTAGCTAGATTTTAAACCATGACCCTTTAAAATAAAAAGTCAATATTTGTACCATGTTAGGAAATTAAAAATCAGAGCCCTGCAGGCGTTAACGTTACAATGCATCATTATACATGACTTTATCAGAAAATATATGAGGTTGGGTCAATTTTGTGTGGTGGCTTAACTTGAACAATTCAGGGAGAGTGGCTTTTAATGGTCCAGAATAGTGATTTTAGATCACATTAGCTATGTTATTTGATAGGAAAATTACAGTTGGTAGAATCATCAAACAACAAATTAATACTTTTGTAGGCATAGGTATAAAGTATTTCCATTTTGCAGTAGTTTGGAATAATATCACAGGAGGGGCGAGCTGGCATGTCCTACTAAACAACAAATATTAAACCACCTTGCAGGCGTCAACGTTCCTATGCAGAATAATAGTGAAGTTATATGACTGAATTTATACACAAAATATTTCAATTTAAAACATTTTATTTAATTTTTTTTTAATTCAAAACATCTTTACCCAGATACATTTTCAGGAAGATGTTAATGCCTGTTTTTAACAATGGTCCTGCACAATAATTACAATGAAAAATTAGACAGTCCGCATAAACAATTTACAATTAAAGGTAAGACAGAAAAAAATAATAAATACATGAACTGTGATAGTTTTATCACTATGGATTGTTTTTAACCTTCGCAGGGACGTATCCAGGGAGGAGCAGCTTCCATCCTTCCCCATATATGATAAAATACAATAGCTTATTTTGTGAAAGAGTATTCGTTAATGATTTTTTTTCCTGTCTTACCTTAATTGTATATTGTTTATGCGGACTGTCTAATTTTTCATTGTAATTATTATAACAATATTTGGTTTTATTTGAAAGATTATTTACTAAATGCAGTATCAATAAACACAATACTTTGTTATGTGTTAGTGCTATTTGCACTATTATCTTAATGACACCTTGATAATTTCAACAAGGGCAAAGGTAGGTCAGTCTGACAAGATTAAGTACAGTGGGAATTTTTGCATTACATGCATAGGAACTAAAACAATGATATACAACCTCGGTCTGCACCATTTGGATGCGTTTGTCTCTCATGCTTCGCACAAAATTAAACACATCCACCTTCCCTTCTTGCTTTGACATGTCCAGCATTGAAGCGATTACAATAACTGTACCAGTTCTACCAGCTCCAGCACTGCAACAAATATTGATTTTTAAGTAATTATAGCATCGTGTATAAACATACAAATAACCGACGATCCATTGGAAAGCTCATAAAAAAAATCCATCTGCAAGTTTCAAGACAGCATAATGTCATGAGCACGTTAAGAATGATTCAAACCTATTATTTTTTAACATCGCATTAATAAGTGAAGCTATAAAAGAGCCTTAAATAATGAAAACCGGGAAAGCAAATTGTAAATGGAATTGAGAGGATTGAATGGGATGAGAGGAGCTGAGAGCTAGTGTCGGTGCGAATAATCGCCCGGACGCTTCATCATCATCATCATCATCATCATCATCATCATCATCATCATCATAATTTCAGCCGTTGTCGGCCCACTGCATGGTGAAAGCCTCTTCAAGTTGAACACATCCACGTCTGTCCTGCTGTGCAGTCCCCTTATCCAGGAAAGACGGGCAAATCCCACAATCACATCCCTCCATCTCATTTTAGGTCTTCTTCAACCTCGAGTGTCTATTCTTGGAAATTGAGGGGCGCTTATGGATGCAAATTGAGAGGGTGTTTCAGGCGCTTTTTTAAAGAAAGAAAAAAAAAATATACAAGGACATCTGAAAACCGAAATTTTCTGGTGCATACAAAATAACCGTTCAGTTGGAATTAACGTTGGTAGTGTTGATAGTAGTGGTTGTGGTGATGGTGTTAAACCTTTTGCTGATTGAGATTAGGAAGATCATTGCAGAGTATATTCAGATGAGAACGTGATAAAGGTGCAATTTGTCGGGGGGAAAGGAGGAACGGGACTAGTCATTCACGGCCGAATCATTGTCAAATGGAAGAAGAGAGGAAAGTTGGAAACATATTGTCCAGCTTTCTCTTGTTTAGTTGAAATAATCTCATATTGAAATTGTCATAAGAAAAAAGTAAGAATTCATTCATCACCTAAAATTATGCCAACCAGGGTCACCAAAAAAATGCATGCAGGAGTGTCGAGATAAGTTTATGCTTGTTTTTAAAAAAAAACTCTGGATATGGCCATGGAATATTTTAATTTTTAGATATTTAATGCTGTAGTTCTAATTTCTAGACGAATGTCCTGGGAAGCAATAAAACAAGAACGAGATTCGTATGATGTATCAAAACTGAAACCATGTTAAACCTGGAAGTTTCTTCAATAATTGAGACTGATCGATCAACAAATGGATGGACAGACCGAATGACAATGTTAAGATGCCAATAGTTGATGCAGCGGACAGTTAGAAAATTAGGTCGGCTATGTACTGTACTGTATGATTGATTTTTTTTTAGGAAAGGAAACGAGTGCCCTTATTCAAAATTTATGGGGTGCATTACACGGGAGGGGCGCTTATTCAAATATGCTTATTCGTTAGATTACAGTATGGTATATGGTATACCTTTGCTGGGTAACATGTTAATTTAATTTATTCTGTTCTCTTATCTGCATGTTAGAGCGTTTTTGTATGTCTGCATAGTTAAGGTAAGTATTTGGTTATTACAGTATCATGCCATAAACCAAATGGCAAGCTACATCTTGCTTATGGCAGACTTAAACAATAATAGTGAGCAGAAAATGGAACTAAACCAAATTTTCTAATTACAAAACATAAAGTACAATAACTAACAATATTAATATACGATATGAAACAAAGACTTTAAGAGGAAAAGATAGCATTTTTTTTATGAACACTATAAAACATACCTGCAGTGTACTATGACTGGTCCACTGTTGCTTGGTGAATCTTGCTGTGCTCTCCTGAACGCGTATATGAAGTCCATCAAATCTGGAACAGTGCGGGGAACACTCTTATCTGGCCAATCAGTGAAATGATACTGAACTACACTATGCACTTCATCCGTCCCAACCTTTAGAGTAAATAAATCCTTCGTCAATAATTTTGGTAGCTTAGATGTTTAAACATTTCATAAATACTATTTCTATATATTTCATTAAATCCAAGCAGAAATAATGTGATGAGGCTTTTTGGAATAAAGTTGAGTTTATTTGAGGAAATATCAACAAACTAAATAATATGGCCGTAGTATTCGAGTTCGAGTATTTAGTATAGACCTATGCTTCAATTGTGATTTTAAATACGAATATGAATATTTAACTATAATCTTAAAAATACCTTCTGAAGTTGTAGATTCCGAACAACATAATACCCATAGTTGGTCTCCTCAGCGTTCGATACACTAATATTTGCATATATCTTACCATCATTCAATTCTGGCCAATACCTCTCACATTTTTTCTACAAATAGATATGTTAAAACATTCTTCATGAATTGAATAAACACTATATTTTTCAATTTATAACATATTTAGAAAAAACTGACACCAGGCCCGTAGCCAGAGGGATTTTTTTATGGTTCGGGCGAACCCCCCTTTTCTAGCGAACCCCCCTTTTCTAGCGAACCCCCTCACATTTTTGAATGAGTCCCACTCGGACGGAATGTCTGTTTTTAACTTACCCAACATTAAGTCAAAATTTAGAACCTAATTTATTATTTATTTAGTGACCCGTTTTTACTTTCTAGCCCGCGATACAAGCCTTCATTTATAGAATACCTCAGCTTCAGAAGTTCGGAGATTTAAATTGAACGCAACTCCGGCAAACCATGAATTTACGATGGCTAACATATAAGGATGGCAAACATCGATAAAAACCCGCCTCCAGTCTCAACTGTGACTGCCTTTTGCCTGAATGTTTGTAAGAATGTACCAACCGGTAACGAAACTGGTCGCCGTCTACCTAGAGTAAATGGCGCCACTAAACGAAGCTAAAGTTTTACGACTTAATCCACCAAATGCAGCTAAAGTTTTGCGACTTAATCACCTGATTCTGGACTGTGTGGTTAGTAAATTCCATAGCCATACTGTCCACAGCGCACACTAACCTATTTGCTGATGGAGCATTTTTGGGAAATTGACTCCTTTTTTCCATCCCAAACAAAATATTATTAATAAGTCAACATGGTCCATCTCAGTCATCATAGCCTGTCACAACATTAGGAAGGTTGTTTTCAACAGCAGACACACACACAACAGAACGGAGTGCGTCAAAACGAGTGTTTGTTAATTTTTAGTGATAAAGAATTACGAAACGTCGTAGAATAACTGACTTTTTTCGTCCACTGTGGCAAAGAAGAAAACTACAGATAGTCTTTAAGCTGGGTTATTTTCACAAAAACGTGATGCAATAATGAAAAAAATGATTATTATTGTTCATTTTCAATTTTTTCATATTCGTCTTTCTTCCTATGTTTCTTCCATATTTTCGTTTAAATTTAATTTGTTATACTAAATACATATTTACGCATATTTCTATATATATATATATATATATATATATATACATATATATATATATATCATCTTATTACAGATTTACATATTTTCTGTAATCTAGAAATAGTTCTATGTATACTTTATGTCTGTATTTAACATGTTTCAATCTTTTGCTTTATTTAAATATCAATTATTATCATAAATTTTAATGATTACATTATTTCATATAGTATTTGAGATAAATTTATAAACAATTTTAAATATTTAAATAAAAACTATGAAAGTAAATACACGTAGATTAGATCAATAAAAATGGACATATTAGGCCTACTAATCTTTATCTATTCATTAACACGAATAACATTTTCAATATTCTAATAAATTTTTATATAGCCGGAGTTAGTTTCGACCTAGGCAAACCTTTGCTAAAAAAGTACACTTTCTCCATCAAAAGGCTTCTTCTATGAATGGAATGCCCTGTTCGAAGCACGAACTCATAAAGACCAAACCCGGGAAATCCACTCACGATGCAATACCGTTACGATATTTAATCGTACGGGAAATCCACTCACGAAATATTTTCTAATTTTATTATATTACCACTTTTTTATTACATAGATCTTTTTCAAAACATAACTGCTTTTATGACATTATTATAGACCCATTAAACACAAAAACTGATCTGGCTTCGGGGGCTTTGCCCCCGACTCCCCGGGGCCCTTAGGCAGGCCCCTGGACCCCACACCCAGAGAACCCCCCTTGAAATGACCTGGCTACAGGCCTGGACACGTTAAAACCACCTAGACGCACATCCACCTAGAATCAAATCATCCTTCCATAGGCCTACTCCCTATCTCAAAGCCCAAGACAAATACCTTGGTTCCCTCAAAGACGTTGGTAACTACCACAATAATCGCAGACTTTTCCTGCCAGATCATTCTCCACATATCATTGACTGACGCCACATTTGGACCTGAAATTATAAAAGTTCAATAACAAGCGATCACTTGACTGTAATAATTGCTTTGGAAGATAACTGTTACGACCATCACCCTTTAAATAAACTGCTGGTTGAAAAGCGTTTCGTATCATAAAAAAATCATAGTGCTTGTTGCGGTTGTGTTCTGCGCGTATTTGAATGATTTGTGATAGTAGTAGTAAAAAGGTCTCTTCACAGCTCTTTACGATACGAAGATAAATAAATTGACTGTGACTATAATGAAGATTATTAATGGTTATTATGTAGATCTAACCTCCTGGTATACATTTTTGTTTGATGGATTTCAGCGTTGCCTTATTTTTCATTTCTCAATCATTTTGTTATCTCATAACAATTTGTCTTTCTAGCGCTTGGTTAGGACGGTTTAGGCTTCATTCGTGATAACCAGCACGTATGAGCGATATTTGTTTAGTCGGACACTCACTACGCCTGACGGTTGTCGGCCGACGCGACCCTATATAAAACGCAACGCGACGGCGCGCACACAATGGATCACTTTGACGGACGATCCGTTCAGACTGCCACATTCAGCAGACGGCGTCGCGTGGTCTATCGCTCACAGATAGTGGAGTTGAATTCGTCGTGCGCGACGGTCTGGCGACCGCCCTATGTGGCAATGAGTACCCGACTTTAGATTCGTTGCTGTGTGCGTTCACAGCTTGGACAAGCAACGAAATATTCATTCACGATAATGTAGTAAAATCACCCCATCTTTCAGATAGTTTGCACACAAGATGCCGAAAATCGGCACTATGTCAATATAGTGATCAGTCGGAAAATGGAAAATTCAGTGCTAATAAAATTGATGACGTCTCCATTATGGTTCAAATTAGCGCTATTGATTTCATGTAATAAGGCTATGATGCTATAATCATTCAACATTATTTACCTTGGCATGCAATAAACTCATGTGGTGTCGTATATCCCTGAAAAGAAGCGACTTATAATATTGTGAACTTTGCACATATTATACATATTACTTGTAATAAGGGTGTAAAGACAATAAACATTTGTTATTTCATAGTATTAAGCATATGTACAGAACAATATTGTTAAATTAAAGTTTAATACAATAATTACATATCTTGTCATATTATTGTGTCTATTGTCGAAAATGTAAATAATCAGTACTTACATCTATATACGAAGCATTTATATAGTCCGACTCAGGAATGTTTTTCCAGAGATCAAGCACTACACGAGAATTATCATCTAACAAAATAGAATTTGCAAATAAATAATGTTTTGTGGTATATACCACTGCCATCAGGGCGATAATTGTTGGTTCTTGATGACTGACAGCAGAAAGGGTAAGATGGGGTGAGGTGGGGTTGGAGTTTTCTTGACAGTAAAGACATTAAATGGTGTCATATTTCCGAAAAGTAAAAACCAGTATTTCTCTTGCAACCGTATATTTCATTTGTAGAAGATAAGCATAAGAACTTATATTGTTCGTGACTTTTACAGCAACTAAAAACTAATGTCGTTAAAAAGTAAAATAAAATGGAGACATAGAAACCCTAAATAATTATAGTACTAAACAAATTATGAAGTAAAAACAATGAAAACAAGTTTACAACTACCGCGACATTAGTGAGATTCCAACTAATGCTGAATTGGCAATAGCGAGGCACATCATGTGACTCATAACATTGCGCGCTATATAAACCAAACTTGTACAGAGCAGTGCATTTTCCGTTTATTGCGATTTAAAGACTGAAAGCAAAAATTGTTTGATGTTTATAATATCTCGGTAGATTTGAGTTTAACCTAGCTGCAACTGGTTTATCCGCTTTACAAAACGCAAGTAGCTTTTATATAATTTAATCAACTGTCAAAAACAATCTTTAAAATGTCCTCATCCACACCCTATTGCGGATTGTCATCAAAATATGATCATTTATTCATTTGACCATTAAAAACTATTCTGCAAAGATTTGTTTCCCTCCATTTATAAAAATGGTCCTCATATGATGGTTACAAAATGTAATAATTTCTTTACTAGACCTTGGCAAACTATTATATTTAGACCCATTTTTGTAGAAACACTAATCTTTTTAGATATATTTAGGTCTGTGACGTCAGCAATTTAATTGAGTCTCACATTTACACCCTCAACTGGATTGTTCCCAGCACATAACCGTTTCTTCATTTTAACTTGAACTTTCCCAAAAGTTTTAATCAGATCAGTTGATCTGTTTTTTAAATATCTGGTCTGGGAGGTTTTTTTTTTTAATTTTCCTCATATCAACACCCTACTACAGATTGTCACAAACATTTAACCATTTCTTTAATCTTTCAAACCTTGACATACTGTTATACAAAGTTTTAATTATACCCAATGATTTTTGTAAAGAGATATTTAGGTCTGAAACCTCAAGCATTTAAATGACCCTTAAATTTACATTCTAAATTAATCGTCCCAAACACATGATAATTTCTTTCTTGTAACTTGGTTAAACTTTTCCAAAAGTTTCATTCAGGTCAATTGACCGAATTTTTAAATATCTGTTGTAGACAGTTTGCAATTAAATTGCTTTATTTGGTCCTCACATGCACACCCCACCCTTGATTGACACCAAATATTTAGCATAGAAAGTAACCAGTGATGGCGCCAGTGTCATATCTGGGGAAAAAGTGAGGGGAAAGGTACAATTTGGGGGGGGGGGTTGCAGGGGGAAAGGTCTCCGACGAGAGCAAAGTGGGTGAGGTCGGGTATCAATTAAAATGTTTCGAAAGTGTTCCATGGAAAGAAAAATATGACAATTTAGGAGTTTCAGAGGCTTATTTAATCGATTTTACATATAGATAGTCTACTAATATGTAGAAAATATTGTTTCCCAACGACTTGTGATTTTTCTTCTTTTCTGGGGAGCAAACTGGGGGAGGGGATGGTGGTAAGAAAACATTCGGTGAGGGGGGCATATGCCACTGCATTTGACCAGAGTTCCGACCAGAACAAACCAGTGTAAAAAGATAGGGAAAAGGTATGCAAGAAAAAAGGAACAATTGGTTTGCAAGCTACTGCTGGGAAAAGCCAAAGAAACAAAAACAAAAAGGAAAGCACATAGTTATCAACAAACGTAACGTTTCTAAAATGGCAACACTGATGTGCTGAAGGCGATATTCATCAATCTTCTTAATGTTGTATTGATACTCACATGGAATAACATTTGCGTATCTGTTTTTCGTTCTATTCTTAGAGTTTTTCGCAGCGGTCCAAGGGTACAGTGGCTTATTGCCAAGGTCCTGTTAAGAGGAAAATTACCATGTATTATTTGCAGAAATATTAACAAGATAATATGACAAAATTAATGCATTTTTTGTGTTATATTTTACTTTTCGTGGACCAAGAAACGTTGTTATTATCCGGTTGGATTAAGTGTAGCAATGCATATACAACAATAAAACTATCCACCTCATATATTAAAAATGACCGATAGAACATGATGACGCATCAATATATTATTTTAATTATATTTTACAAATTTGTATGACCTATTTACTTTAAGTTTAATTCCTTTTCTTTTGAAAAAAAAATACACATAATATTATTCACCTTTTATGAGGATTAGAGAGTAAATTTGCTTCTGTCTGTCAATTGATATTGAAACCATGATACCAACCAAAAAAATTAAGTAGATGTGGACTAAGTAGGACATACCTCAAATTCTTTCGCAAATCCGTTTTTTAAGCTCATGTTTCGATTCATGACGTAATCATGTAGCTTTGCTAACTCGATTGGCTTGTATTCCTGATTTTCCAAGTTTGTGTTTCCATAAATAGGTTCAGCGTTCGCGTACACATTTCTGACTGTAGGATCATTGTCATCATAATCATCATCTAAGTATTTTACTTCAACTGAACTAGCATGACCCTCCCCAGCAGCCAGCATTTCATTTTCTATTAGAAGCAAACAAAAAGGTTAGGCACTTGAAATGAATTCA